TGGATCGCCAGATCGGCTTTCACCGTGGACGAAGAGGAGTCCAGCCCGGGGTCGTCACATGTGGTTGCCGCATGCCCACAGGCCGCTCCTTCGTCGAATCCGCCGGCCGCGCCGTTCTCAAGCCTGCCCACCACCGCTCACTCTAACCCGCCGGCCGTTCAAGCGTAACATTTCCGTCACACGCTTGAGGTATTCAGCCAATCACAACACACTAAATAGCTGGCCAATCAGCGTACACCTTGCTTTTAAGACCGATGGGCGCATAAACACATTGCATTACACCAAATACACAACATAATGTTCTTTTTAGCAACGTCATATGACCCCTTTAATATGTTTGTGGAAACGGTTATTTTTTCAGGATTCTTTTCATGAAAAGAAAGTTCAATTTGTAATTAAGAAATAGATACGATTTAAAAATAACAAATTAATAATAAAAAAAAAAACGTAACAGGTTCCATCCAAACTTTTGAACAGACTTAAAGTGTATATGAAGGATTTCAAATTAGTTTTCATCTTGATATTTTCCTAAAGCAGTTTAATCATTAAAGGGTTAGTTCACCCAAAAATGAAAATTAGCCCATAACATTTTAATTAAGTGCTTTTGGACTGATGCATGCAACACCCGCTGAGTGCCATGAAACTGCTTGAAAGATCAAAGACCATTTTTAATATAACTCCGACTAGATTCGTCTGAAAGAAGAAAGTCATATACACCTAGGATGACTTGAGTGAGTAATTTATGGGCTAATTTTCATTTTTGGGTGAACTAACCCTTTAAGGCATATTTCCACATTATTTTTTACTAAATGAACACAGTGAAGAATGGTATTTAATCATGTTCATTCAATTTGAATTTCTATGAACCAATAAACACATCTTCTCTATATTATGCATAAAGAAATACCACACAAAGGCTTTTACAAACAAATCAGAACTGACTCACTGAAACAGACAATTTGAATAATTTGATTCACAAAAATTAACTAAACTTAAACCAATATATATTAAATATGAATGAATATGGTGATGAAATACTGGCTACATTTATAAGACATTTTTGTCAAGTCAAAACTGAAATGAATACTGGTTAAAACATTTACAGAACGAAACAGCGAAAAATAAAAGTAAATGCATGTACAAAATAGTATAACAGAAAAAAGGGAGGAAAAGGGCAATATGAGTAATATGTGTGAGAGGGAGTAACACTGAAAGAGAGAAACAAAGTTTGTATTTGAAAAAGAGAGAGTCTCATGAGAGATTTTTGTCTCGCAGTCACACGTTTGTTGGTGTGTTTGTCAGCACCAGCGCTCCTTGCGTACGTGTGACCGGCTATCACGCTCTCTTAATTACGGCGTGAAGGGATCAGATGATTGGATAAGCACAGGAGGAGAGGAGTTACTTACTCTTCCGCTTGGATGGAGTCTGCAGGGGCCACGTAATTGCTGGGAATGTAGCCCTTCTGCCCCGTGTTGATGGAACGAGCCTCCCACCAGTCTCCCTCTCTGTGGGCCCAAGCACAAGACAACCCAGTTATCAGGTTCACGTCCTTCACCATAAATTGAAAACAATTCAGCAACAAGCATCTGCAGGCCGTGTTATCAACAAAGTAAAAATGCAGGGAAGTGAAGGAATTTGAGGTGTATGATTAAAATGTCAGGGTCATTAGAGAGGGAACATTTTTTAACAGTGAGCGTTTACTGAAAGCTAAACCTGGCTGGTGGATGAACAGATGGCCCATTATGGAAACGCATTAACCCAGACAGATTTCGCCCTCGATGAACTTGGAATACAATGATGGATTAAAAAAAAATGAAATAAATAAATCCTGCCAAATTTAATTCCTGTAGCTGGATTATCTTACACATACATTTATATACACTCAAAATATGTCGCCCCGGGGTGGATATGGCCATACGAGCAAAAGCTGAGGAACTCACGTGTTGTTGATGATCTGAAATCTATCGCCTTTCTTGAAGGAGAGGTCATCTGATGTCCTGGCTTCATAATCATATAAGGCCACAAAGAAAGTTACACCGCCTGCAAGAAAAATCAACTCGGGTTGTGTAAAGTCGCAAATCACAGGCTCAGACAAGCAATACGATAATAGTACGCTAATAGCTAGTTAGCTGCTCCCAAGTAACTTAATTTTTTTATTTGAAATTGCCACATCAGATGCTATTTCAGCCACATAATAGAGTTTAGTTAAGAATTTATAGACGTGTTGAATGACGTGTCCATTGATTTTTGTTCCCGGCTCGGTCGTCCCTGTAGTCAGTTATCATTAGCCAGCTCGCTCTTTGTCTTCACTACATCAACAATGGGATTTTCACCAGCATGGTTTATGGATGGCCCAGTAGAAAGAAGGCAGAGCCGAGATGGTTTTGAGTGGGAGGGAGGACAAAAGAAGCGGGTTGGATTAAACCTAAGCAGGCCCCCAAGACCAGAGAACAGAGGGCCGACCCGCTGATTACATCCGCTATGCCACACACAGATCCGCCAAGTCAAGAAGCCCAAACGGGTATGATGTGTGCATGGGTGCTGGCGTTTCTTCTGTTTGGCTATTAAATTGGATCAGGTTTGAACCTGTTGGCAATGTGTTGATGATGAGTAATTAGGGTTGTTACAAAAGCAAAACTGCAGTAGTTGATAATGCTACCACTAAAATTTCTTAACAGCAGAAACTTCTCTACAGCAACTATAACACACAGTAATTGCAAATATGAATATATATATATAAAAATACATTAACATTATTTGTTAATGTAACAATTGTTAAACGCAATAATACCGTATTGGCCCGAATATAAGACGACCCTGATTATAAGACGACCCCCCTTTTTCCAGATGTACCTTTTGGAAAAAGGCTTTTTAAAAACCAAATCTTGTTTTTTCTCAGTAGAACACATTTTGTCTTCAATTATTTTCATATTGCATATTTTTCCTATTTTAATTTTTGTTTTGAAAGTATGGTAAAAACTGGTAAAATGTACCAACAATCACATTTAAAAAATATACACTTTTTGATATACCATAAAAAGCGCCACCTATTGTTGTGGGTGTATTATTGACATGTCAAAGTCTAGACCCTGAATATAAGACGACAAAAACATTGTCTTATATTCGGGTCGATACGGTACATATTAAATATACATTTAAGTATTGAGTAATATTAATTAACTACATGTACTTACTATACGGTTAGGGTTAGGATTAGGGTTTGTCTTGGGGTTACTTGCGTGTAATTATGCATAATTTATTGTTATTATTAGGGGCACCCCGATTGATTGGCTACCAATCACTATCGGCCGATAATCGCTTTGGGATGTTTGATCGGCGGACTCTATGATAACGCGCCTGCTGAGGTTTGGCATGACATGCAGCGGCACTGTCTCAGTCCCTGTCCGGCACGGGTGAAATAATTATAATGCTGAAGGTGAGGTACAATTCATATTTCTTCATTAAATAACGTATAAAGTAATCTGAAAACTTTCTGTGAGACATAACTTCACAAACAGCGCGAGTGAATGACCGCGTACTCTATCTTTCCCTCTCAAAATGCGCAAATGGCTTCAAATCACACCGTGTCTGCACTATAAGCGAGCTGCACACTGCATAGTTGACATAGCCATAGGAATTATCAATTACCACTTGCACAATCGAGGCAGTGTTGCATCGTCACTAAAGTTTATGAATCGCATTTCTTTTTAATTCTTGCCAGTGTTTAACCATTCAGCACTCGTTCGCTCTCCTGGAGACTGTGTGCTCATGCACACTCGAAGCGCACACACCACATAAAAAATTATAGCGTCTAAAACAATAAAAAATACTAAATCAAATTCAAACAAATGGAATGTAGTCTAAGCATTTCTCAGTTAAGTAATCATTATTACATTTTTGCCAAGTAATAAAGTCAACAGGCAGCAATAAAGAAAAAAGAAATAACAGCAACCAGCAGTTTTCTCATTTATTTTGTCAACCTTGTTGATCAATATCAACATAATAAATAAGATAAGAGAGCCACAATAAACTAGCCTATTAGGTTGGATGTATATAGCAAAGACTAGATCTGAAATTGTGACAAATTCAATGTTTATATTCATATACTGCCAAGACAGACAAGTCAATCTGGTTTATTTGCAAGGGTTGAGGGGCTAAGCTCAGAATACTTTGTATTACCGGTATTGTAGAAAGACTGGCTGCATTTTATTTTAGTACTGACATTTGACATTCATGGATTATAACAGCATTATGTGAATATGGCTTCAAAGATGCCAGAAAGAATAACTTTTCGAGGTGTGCTGGATATACAGAGTACTCTCCTCTATCTGCTCACTGACATTGACAAGATCTTAAAAACTCTTTGGATTTTCCCTAGAGACAATTTCCATCAGGCCACACTAGATTTAGCATTTAAGCAAAGGCTATCAGATCAAATGTTGCCTGAAAAAGCAGATTTGTGAACAGCACTTGCCCTGTGACAAGACATGATGTGATAATTAAGCTATTTATAACCCTACTGAATAAAAACTGTGCCGTTCACAGAGTACACACAAAGATCTAATTATTTGGCTTTTCTGCTGTAGACACATATCGCATTTATACCCAGCCTCTTGGAGTTAAGGAGAGACAGACTTGGTATAAAGAGATCTCTTCACAGCACTGCCTGAAGCAGAACAGAGAAATTACCACTGAACACAGAGGAATAAATCAAATTAGTTCCTCTTGCATTTATTTAGGCCTACTACAACTGCCGTTTGTAATTCTGATTTAATGAAACATACTGGATATATTGTTTTAGTGGTCTCATTTACATAACATCTGGCTACACTGAACTTTATCTTTCCCAAAAAGTGCTTACATACGCAAACAAAACACCAAACATGACCATATATATATATATATATATATATATATATATATATACACACACACTAGGGGTTACACCGACTAATCCACTTCAATGCTCTGCCATGACGCTTTAAGCTTGACGTCGACTAGTCGCTGGTCCTATAGAGGGCGCAACAGGATAAGAAATCTTTGAAGGA